AAGGCCGTCCTCTTCTCCAGCTATCAAGCTATGGCGACGAGGTATAATATTGTTTCGACGACGACTCCACCGACATCGAAGTATCCAGAGCACTAGAGCAAGGCAGTGTCGCAGCGTCAGAAGGATCCCGAAACTAGGGCGGCGAGGTCTACACACCTCCACCGCTCCAGACCGGGATAATCCTGCCCCCTGCTCCTGAGTTCAGGGTGGCCCCGACCAGGAGCGACGGATATGTATACACAGATATCGTCGCCCGATGGGCACCATTCTTGGTCAGCCGTCAGCTGCATCTTGAATGAGGGTCAAAACGAAAGCTTGGATGACCTTGGTCCACTACAGCCGCTGTTCAACCCAAGCGGCGTGGATGCTCGCCCGAAACTCTGGGCCCTGACCTGGGTCTTCGAATCATGACCTGCGACGACGAACGACGACGACAATGGCGGCGACGACCCCTCACCTTAGGCGAATTGAATGTTCCGATCCTGGCGTTTTCCCTCCAGTTCGACCTCTTCGGATCAGTTTCGGGCCCTGGGGCCACCGCGCGAAGGACGGGGCCCAACGTAAGCGGGCTTGGAAAACCGCACGCCTTAGGGCCCCCAGCGCGGCAAGCCGGGGCCCCGCTAATGATAATCTGACCCACCATACCGGGTGCAATCTTAGATCGAGACAACGTGCTGGGTTCCGTGTTTCAGCTTCCTCCAGCGATGAACGGGCGCCCACGCGCGGGCCCCACCACGCCTGCAACCGAAGAAAAAACGTCCAAGCTAAAATCCTAGAAGCCGTCCGGATCCCGAAGGCACGGGGAACAAAACAAGAGCAGAGCACCTCGCTTTGGGGGCATGGAAAGCGGCGACAGCACGATGGGGCACCACCATGGCGCCTTCCGACGGAGAGTGGAGGTCCAGCGTGGACCTGCAGAGGATGGCCAGCTCCAAGATGGGCTTCATCCTGGGCCCTGCGCGGCGGGGGCCCAGATGCTGTCCCACCATCTGGCCTAACAAGAAGAGGAGGCCCTGTCCAGGGCCTCTTGCGCGATGAGCTCGTGCTCCTGCGCTGAAATACCTCAGCGCTGACAGGTGGCAGCCAATCCTTGACCGACCACCACGAGTAGTTACCGTTGACGGACGCGACGCTGAGACGGACCCCCGCCCCCCCCCTTAAGCGCGGGCTGCGCCGCCTGGGGGGGGGGGACTGGCCTGGCACTGGACAGGCCCATCGCCACCAGCGGCACTGTCAGCCTGCAGACGTTCAGCAATACGCTCAGCCTCAGCACGCGCGGCGGCCGTTGCCGCTGGGCCCAGCGATGCTGACGCACCGGATGATCCTGCTGGCGCTGGTTGCTCCTGGCTGCGTGATTGCTGAGGCTCGGCCGCCGCTGTCTCGCCCCCATCGACAAGGATCGCGACGCCGTCGGTGGTTTTGCGGCGCTTGGCCGGAGTGCGCTCGATGAGAGCCTGATAATGCGCCTTGACTGCGCGCGCCATGGCAGTCGCTTCCTTGAACAGATTCTGAGCAGCTGCCGCAGTACTCTCCTTGAGCTCGGCACGGCGCTTCTGACCTTGGCAGATGCCCTGCGGTCCAGATCGTACAAGTCACGGAGATCATCGAACAACACACTATCGCCAATGCGAAGATTGGAAATACTGCCAGCCACAAGATCACGAAGATTAAGAGCGACGCCCAGATCATCGTCGTAACCAGGGATAACTTTAGGATGGAGCTGCGCCACCTTCTCCTGCACGTGCTGCCACCAAAGATGCATTGACGAGACAAGCCAGCAAACGAGACTTTCTGCTACCCAACGCCGAACGCTTGTATATTTAACTATCGGATTCCAACTTCGGGTCGAGCCTGACAGACTGGTGATAAATGTCGGCCATATGAGATTGCAATGGCTTCGAGACGGCATCCGCGCTGGACGCCAACGCATCCAGCTTCGTCCGACACGGAGCTGCCGTGTCGGTGTCGCCCTCCCTCCCTGGCCGGCACGGCCAGAAGCCGCAGACCCCTTGACCCGAGCGGAACCTCGCCGCTGCTGCCTCCTCCTCCTCCTCCTTCCGAAGCTGGTTGGGCCCCTCCCTGCCTGGTGCGTTGCCAAGCTGTGTATCTCGGGCCTGAGTGTGCAATGGGTTTGTCACAGTTTCGGTTGACATCGCAACACACAAGATGGGTGGGATCCTCAGTTTGTCATTGCATGTAGTGCATAAGGTCCATTGCTGTGGGGCATCCTCGTCTCGTCCGTCTTCTGAGCTGGGGGGGAGGCTTAATCAAATCGAACACTGGCATCGCCACTGGTTCTTACTCCTACTCCTACCCCTCCCTGCCTGGTGCCACGGACCTGGTGGAACGGGACCCGGGCGCCGGGGAACGTTAGAGCGACGAGACCAGACGCCACGAGGACCAGCAGCGGCGTCAGCTGACGGCTGACCGCGGGGAGCACCGCAGCGGTTGCACGGAGGGGCCAAGGCCCAGGTCTCACCGCACCCAGGCGCTGGGCACTTCCGGCGCGGAGCCGCCTCCCGACCTGCCCCACCATGACTGGAATCAGTGCAGTCTTGGGTCGGGCATGCCCTCTTGCAGGCTGATTTCGGACGAAAAGTAAATTTATCCCAGTGCGACCCTACCTAGGAGTTGGAGCCCCTAGGAAAGCAGCATTAGTAGTAACGGTAAAGCTAAGCTAAAGCTCAGCTAAAGCTAAGCTAAAGTTAAGCTAAAGCTAAGCTACGCTAAGCTAAGCTGCAGCTAAGCTGCAGCTAAGCTAAAGCTCAGCTAAAGCTAAGCTATAGCTCAGCTAAAGCTCAGCTAAAGCTAAGCTAAAGCTAAGCTAAAGCTCAGCTAAAGCTCAGTTAAAGCTAAGCTAAAGCTAAGCTAAAGCTAAGCTAAAGCTAAGCTAAAGCTAAAGCTAAAGCTAAGCTAAAGCTAAGCTAAAGCTAAGCTAAAGCTAACGCTAAAGCTAACGCTAAAGCTAAGCTAAAGCTAAAGCTAAAGCTGAAGCTAAAGCTAAAGCTAAAGCTGAAGCTAAAACTAAAGCTAGGGGGCGCAACTGGGGGAACCGCGGGGCGGGGACTGGGGGAACCGCCCGGGGCGGCCTACACTGCCCGGCCCCTTTAAGCAAACAAAGTAAGAACCCTCTAGGCAGAGCCTAGGTAGGGATCATACTCCAAAAGTCATCAAAAATCGTCCCCCGACTGTTTGTTGCTTATTATTGAAGATTCCTCCTGTAGAGGGACACGCCCGACTTAAAAATAGTTGCTAGGGTGCCACGGCGCCGATGAAGGGTCCCAGCTCGATCGCCAAGAAAACCAGCCTCCACTGGCACTGCCTCCTGCGCTATTGCGAGCCATGAGCGGTTGAATGGAGAACCACATGGCCCGCAGACACCCTGCCGCTCTGAAGTGCGCGCTTGTAACGCCAAAATATGTTGGCACAGGATGGACTGGTGGAGATATGCGAAAAACGATAACAACGACGGCGAACTAACAACGACGAACCACGACGGACGAAGACGACTGCAACGACCCAGCCAATGAGTCGTCAGGCACGCCAGTCTCAAGACTACCGAGCCCAGGAGCGTCATATCAGAAGGGCTCGAAGTTCACAGTTCGAGTGTTGTCCTTGTCGGAGGGATGCCTATCGATGGCACGTTGTCTCGGTTTGTGGTCCCTTATCGTGCCAGCATGTGCAAGCTCGGCTTCCATCCACAGCGCACTTCAGCAACCCAGGCAAGGTGGAGGCCAAACACTTCCACAAATATCGAACACGCGATACAGGCGTGATACTCCACGTGGAAATGCGCGTTTTGACTTTTGCTGGCCCGGCTGATTCCTCAACTCGGAACTGTAGCACTCGCACTGCCTCAATGTCTCCAACGACAATGGCTTTAACGTCCCACAAATTCTTTGCCTGAACACATCCTTGTCAGTGGTACGCTCGCAGTACAGCAAAAGGACGGCAGCATCTGACCTCGAGCGTTCTGTCGATAATTGTGCTGCAAGAGTTTCGCTGCAATCCCAACTTTCAAGAGATCAAAGGGACAAGAGAGAAGTCGGACAAGAGATCAAAAGGGATCATCCGTTCCCTGATGCTTGTATCTACCTGCGCGATGACCGTAAACCGGACTGTATGGCTTGCGTGGAATGCCGCCACGGCTTCGCCCATCCGAGCTATCCAGCAAAGGCTCATCTGTACAGTTATGGTGAGACTTCTGTCAGGCCCTCAAGCGACAACGGTTCCCACATGGGTGGCAACAGCAGTACCGATAGTTTCTGAATCCAAGCTGACTTCAGCTCGGTGCCCAATGTGGGGAGCACGTAGGCGCCGCCAGAAGGGGTCCAGCGCCGATCCAAGAAATGAGCGCGGACCTCCGAAAGCTGATGTTTATGTCGATTTCTCTCCTTCGATCACAATCACGCTCTATGGCGTCCCAGACCGCCTCGCGCCGCCGAAAAACTTAGCGGGAGATGTGTCGCAATTCTCTATTTCCAGAGCCCTCGCCGGGCCCCCGGGCCCAGGGACTGTCAAACGCCTCGGGATACAAAATTGGTCCTAGGGAAGGGGCTGGACCTCTTGATGTCCGCGCTGCGAGCATAGCGCGACGTCCGAGATCTGGGTTTCGCCCTTCCAAGAAAACACGCGTGAGAGTGCCGTGGCTCGGGGCTGCAGCTCGCAAGGCCCAGAGGGCAAAGGAAGCCAGAAGAAGCCTTCTCCCGCTTCCACTCCTCCCTATACCCCTCCTCCCGGGCCGCCTCCTCCTCCTCCGAAGAAGAAGAAGACGACGACGACGACGACGGCGACGACGACGACGACGGCGGCGGTGGCGGCGGCGGCGGCGGCGACGGCGGCGAGGATGACGACGACGACGACGACGACGACGACGACGGCGACGACGACGACGGCGACGACGGCGGCGACGACGACGACCAGCGCCCGACGGCCGACGACGGACGGCCGACGGCAGGCGCCCGACGACAGGCGGCCGGGCGGGGCGGCGGCGGGCGCGCCGTCTCGTTGGAGAGGCCGCGGAGGGCGTTCGCCGCAGCGGCCACCTCTGACGGGCCTGTTTTCCACCACCACCATAAGTTGGAGGGGGAGGGGGTCCTCCTCCCCCTCCTCCTCCTCCTCCTCCTCCTGCAACTCCTCTACCTCCTTCCCCCCCCTCCTCCTCCTCCTCCTCCTCCTCCTCCTCTTCCTCCTCTTCGTCCTCTTCGTCCTCCTCCTCCTCGTCCTCCACCTCCTTCCCCCCTCCAACTTGTGGTGGTGGTGGAAAACAAACCCATCAACCTCTCCAAGCATCGTTTTGGCCGATCCCTACCCAGAGATCCGACGCTCCCAAAAAATTTAGAGGGCAACAGATCCACCCCCATAATAACCACCCCGACACGCGAAGCCGTTCAGTAAACACGCCCAAAGACGGAATCGCACAGGGCAGGGCTGTTTAGTAAACGCCCAGGGCCGTGTAGTGAACGCCTACTGTCCGGTCCAGGTGGTTTTTTCTCCATTGAATCGGGGCTCACAACTCCAAACTTCTTATTAATAAACGGGGTGGTGACAAACGTGAAAACGCGGCGCGGCCAACCCCCCACCGGGCACCAGCCCCGTGCCCCAGCGGGGAACGGAACGAACCCCAGACCCTCCCCCTGGCACCCGCGCGGACGCGCAGCGGCCAACCTCTCAGTGCACTCCAAGGGGGGGGGCGATTGTGAAGCGATCCAGAGTATCCAGAGATCCGACGCTCCCATCAAAATTTGGAGGGCAGAAAATCCACCCCCAGAAGAACCACCCCGTCAAGCGAGGCCGTTTACTAGACGCCCCCGCTGAAAGAACCGAACAGGGCAGGGCTGTTTAAAAAACGCCCAAAACTGATCAATAAACGCCAATTGTCCGGTCCGGGTGCTTTCTCCTCCCTTGAAAATTGGAGCGGCGGGATTCTGGCAATCTCGAGCCTCCGGGGGCCCTCGCCGGGCCTCGGTAGCGAGAAAAAACAACTCGGGACGAAGAACCGGCCCCAGGGAGGTAGTCTGGACCTTAAATTGGAGCGGCCGGATGTCTGGGTACAGTCCACCCGTGTAGGTCAGGACGCACGATAGGGATGCCAGGGCCATGGAAGGCAATGTCGACACTCTGCGAGCGGGGCGCGGCCAGCGGAAGCGGCCAAGGATGGACCGAGGGGCCAGGATGCAAGGGTGACCTTGGAAAGCCGCTCATCCTTGCTATGCGGGTTGACTGTATCACCACTGAGGTGGCCCGGGCCCCACTGGCCGATTTACCCCACGAGCTGGGGACATAGGCCGTTTCCTTCGGGCTTCGAAGGGTACATCCCCAACTGGGGTGGCAAGATGGTGGGAACCGGGATGGGGATGGGGATTGGCTCAAGGATACTGGCTCTCGCCTCTCGTGGGGGCGGGGGGGGGCAGGCACCGACCCTGGCCAGGTCCGCCAGGGGCCTGTCGCGAAGCTCAGCCGACGTCGGCCCCCACGTGGTTCCCAAACCCGGGTCAGCCAGAGGTGATGGGCCTGTTTTCCACCACCACCACCATAAGTTGAAAGCGGGGGAGGAGGTGGAGGACGAGGAGGAGGAGGACGAAGAGGACGAGGAGGAGGAGGAGGAGGAGGAGGAGGAGGAGGGGGGAAGGAGGTGGAGGAGTTGCAGGAGGAGGAGGAGGAGGAGGAGGACCCCCTCCCCCTCCAACTGATGGTGGTGGTGGTGGAAAACAGGCCCATCAAGAAGGAACTGGCTGACCCCCCTTGGCGCTGACCCCACGCCGCGCGAGCCCCGACGAGGGGGGTGGGAAGGAGCGGCACGCCCCCCCCAGTCGCCTGCCCTCGCCGCCCCTCGCAGTCGCAGACGCCTCCGCACCCGTCGTCCTCCTCCGCCGCCTCCTCCGCCTCCTCCTTCTGATTTGCCTCCTCCTCCTCATCCTCCCTCCCTCCTCATCCTCCTCCTCTTCATCCTCCTCATGGGACACCGACGGGACACCCGCTGGACACCCGCTGGACACCGACGGGACACCATCGGGGCACCAATGGATCTCACGTTCGATCTGACTATGGATCTCTCGATCGGTCTTACTATCGATCTCGCTCGCTCGATCTTACTGTCGATCTCACTTGCTCGATCGACATCACTATAAATCTCACTATCGATCCCACCACGCGACACCGACGGGACACCAATGGGACACCAAAGGGACACCGACGTGACACCGATGGGACACCGACGGGACACCGACGGGACACCGACTGGACACCAACGGGACACCGACAGGACACCGACGGGACAGCGACGGAACAGCGACGGGACACCGACGAGACACTGACGGGACACCACGACAGGACAACCCGGCCACCGCCCGCCCACCGCGGGGGGGAGGCGGACAAGGAAGGGACACCACGGCAGGACAACCCTGCCACCGCCCGCCCACCAGAGGTAGAAGGGGCGGTCAACGACCCTTAACCCGCCCTAGCGGAGTCATTCCTCTCGCCCGCCAACGCAGCTTCGCCTCGTCCGCATGCACAACACGAACCCGAAACCGAAATCGATTTACTGGTGGGGGGCTCCACGTTCCACTTCGATTTCACCACCCAACCTCCGATACTGCTCCACACATAGTGTGTAATACATGTGGTGCAATAGATATGGTACAATTTATGTTGTGGAATCCACTCTGCTGAACTTGAACTCGTCATCTCCACTGCTCGCGCAAACATCCCACCCACCCACCCGCAACTTGGTTTGCAAAACCTCTTAAGACCGACTACAACGACACCGACGACAACGACGACGACACCGAAGACGTTTCCGACGATTTCGACGACGACACCGACGCCGACGCCGACGACGACGAATACGACGACGACGACGCCAACGAAGACGACGACGGAGGAGGAGGAAGGACGACGACGGCGACAATGACGACAACGACGACAACGACGAGGGAAGAGGGAGGACGGCGACGACGCGAACGAAGAAGAAGGAGGAAGGACGGCGACGCCGACGACGGCAACGACGAGGGAGGAGGGAAGACGACGACGACGACGACAACGACGACGACGACGACGACGACGACGACGGCGACGAAATAGGAGGGACGACGACGAGACGCCGACGACGGACGACGACGACGACGAGGGAGGAGGAAGGAAGGACGACCACGGCGACAACGACGACGGAAACGACCACGACGCCAAAGAGGACGACGACGACGAACACGAGGAAAGACACAGGACGACGTAGGCGACGACGACGACGACAACGACGCGGGAGGAGGGAGGACGGCGACGACGACGACGACGACGACGCAAGAGCGCGCGCGCACGCTTGTGTTGCAAATCCGTGTTGCGAAACCTTGTGTGTTTGTAGGTGTTTTGGGCACACGATTTTGAAATCCTTCCCAAGCCGATGGGTTTTGAAGGTTTTCGGCATACGGGCGCGACTACGCGCGCGTCTGCACTTCGTCCTATTTTTTGAAGGGGATTCTCGCGACGGCACACGCGCAAGGGCGTTCGACAGATTTCGCCAAGAGCGCGCGCGAAGCCCGTTTAGTAGGATTTTGTGAAAATCTTGGAAAACCTCTGGTTTTCGTAAGATTTCGCAAGAGCTCGCGCGTAAGCTTTCTTAGCGATTCAGTGTTACGAAACGCTGTGTTTTTGTATGTTTTTTGAAAACTCGATTGCGAAACCCTTCCCGCACCGAAGGTTTTTGAAGGATTTCGGCATGCGCGCGCGACGACGCGCGCGTGTGCACTTCGTCTCATTTGTTGCAAGAGATTCGCGAAAAAAATGTCATGTTAGAACAAATAATGGAAAGAGCGTGTTCTACCGCTGCTGGCGGCAAACCGGGGGGGGGGTCACTACCGGTTCGAACCCCTCCCCCCCCCCCAGCTCATCATGAAAAGGGGGAGGGTCACTACCGGTTCGAACCCCCCCCCCCCCTCGAAAACCGAGTGGGGGTGCGGACAGTGGTGGGGACGGTGTTGGTGGGGACAGTGGTGAGGGGACAGCGGGACAGTGGTGGGGACAGCGGGGGGACAGTGGGACAGTGGTGGGGACGGTAGTGGTGGGGACAGTGGTGGGGACAATGGTGGGAACAGGGGGGACAGTGGACAGTGGCGGGAACGGTGGTGGTGGGGACAGTGGTGTGGGGACAGTGGGAATGAGGTGGAAACACTGGGACTGTGGAGGGTACAGTGGTGGTGGAGACACTGGTAAAGGCGGTGGCGAGGACGGCGGTGGGACAATGGGACAGAGGTACAGTGGGGACAGTGGTGGGGACAGTGGGGACAGTGGTGGAAACAGTGGGACAGCTCAGTGGGACAGCGGAGGAGTCAGTGGGACAGTGGGGACAATGGGGATAGGCAGTGGTTGGGTCCGTGGAGACAGTGGGGAGTGGAACCGTGGTGGGAACAGTTGTGGGAACAGTGGGGACAGTGCGACAGCGGTGGGGGCACTGGTGGGGACAATAGGGACGGTGGTGGAACCAGTGGGGACAGTGGTGGTGAGGACAGTGGTGCTGGGAACAACAATGGGGGATGTGATGCGAGCGGTGGTAGGGACCGGGAGTCGTTTGCTGGCGGTGCGTGTTAGTGACCCCCCTCCGGTTTTCGAGGGGGGGGGGTTCAACCGGTGGTGACCCCCCCCGGTTTTCCGGATCCGGAGGGGGGGGGGGGGGGGAGGGGTTCAAACCGGTAGTGACCCCCCCCCGGCTTTCGAGGGGGAGGGGGGGGGGGGAGGTGTTAGGGGAGAGGGGGGGGGGGTTTGCCGGGAGGGAGGGGGGGGGGGGGGTCCGGCAGGGAGGGGGGGGGGGGTCGGTGGGGGGGGGGGGGGGGGGACGGGCTCCGGAGGAAAAGGTTGGCAATTTTCCACAGTGAAGCGGCGGTGGATCACGCTCTCTCAAATAATGTCACCGCATAGTGTTTTCTACAAGGGAACCTCAGGGGGGGGAAACCGGCCTAGCTGGGATGATACGATTTCAAATTTAGGATGGACGAGTGTGCAGAATATATATATATATATATATATACACACACACACGAAATTATAATATCCCAGGGAGAACCGATAAGTCCGGGGGGGGGGAGTCTATTCTCTTCTTAGAAAGGAGAATCAAGCACTTGCCGAACTTGAAGCTGTCAATTCCACTGCTCGCGCAATCATCCCACCCACGCACCCGCAACTTGGTTTGCAAAACCATGTGGGATCGACCACAGATATCGCTCCGGGGTCGCCTTGGAGCCCTCGGGGGCGTCTCCAGAGCGCCCCAAGAAGGCCGGAGAAGCAAGACGGCCGACCACGACGACGACGACGACGACGACGACGCCGACGCCGACGACAACGAAGACGCCGACGCCGACGCCGACGACGACGACGAAGACGACGCGACGTCGCCAACGAAGACGACGACGACGAGGGAGGGAGAAGGACGACGACGGCGACAACGACGACAACGACAACGAGGGAGGAGGGAGGACGGCGACGACGCGAACGACGAAGAAGGGGGAAGGATGGCGACGCCGACGACGACAACGACGAGGGAGGAGGGAAGACGACGACGCGACGACGACGACAACGACGACGACGACGGCGACGAAATAGGAGGGACGACGACGAGACGCCGACGACGGACGACGACGACGACGAGGGAGGAGGAGGAAGGACGACCACGGCGACAACGACGACGGAAACGACCACGACGCCAAAGAGGACGACGACGACGAACACGAGGAAAGACACAGACGAGAAAGACACAGGACGTAGGCGACGACGACGACGACAACGACGCGGGAGGAGGGAGGACGGCGACGACGACGACGACGACGACGACGCAAGAGCGCGCGCGCACGCTTTTGTTGAAAATCCGCGCTGCGAAACCTTGTGCTTTTTTTGTGGACGCGCGATTTTGAAATCCTTCCGAAACCGATGGGTTTTGAGGGATTTCGGCGTACGCGCGCGACAACGCGCGCGCCTGCACTTCGCCCCATCTTTTGCGGGGGATTCTCGCGACGGCACACGCGCAGGGGCGTTCGACAGATTTCGACATGAGCGCGCGCGACGCCCGTTTGGTAGCATGTTGTGAAAATCTCGGAAACTCTGTCTGGGCCTGCTGTTGTGGAAAGGTTAAAATGTTTAAAGCGAGCACGGGTGTAGGGGTGGACACGATGGGTGCAGGAAGGGGGCCACCCCAACCGACAAGGCCCGCGCATCGCTCGGCCCTGGCGATGCGGGGAGGAGGGGGGGTCAACCTCACATGCCCCCTTCTCAACTGGAACACAATGAGAATGGATATATGAAGAGGGGGAGGAATGATAGTACCTGTGGGAAGGGGAACAAGGGTACACTAATGAATACCTGCGGCCCTTCCCATTCCTTTCCCCCCATCACAGCCGAAGCTTGCATGGTAAGGGGAACTCTGTCTGGGCCTGCTGTTGTGGAAAGGTTAAAATGTTTAAAGCGAGCACGGGTGTAGGGGGTGGACACGATGGGTGCAGGAAGGGGGCCACCCCAGCCGACAAGGCCCGCGCATCGCTCGGCCCTTCCCATCGAGGCGATCGCGGGTTCCTGACCCATCGTGCGCGATCCCAAATCCACCCCCGACCAATCCCGCTGCTTTCTTTTTTTTCCTTCACCAGGCGCCAATCGGAGTCGGAATGGTCGACTACTAATTGGGAGACCGCTGCCTCGTCCAGCTGGTCACTCCTGAGGTGCCTCAGGAAAGCCGCGCCCCTCTATCCGCCCGCCAGTAGCAGGGCGCCAAGGGAGCTGCCGGAATCAAGCGAGTCTCGCGCCATGCCCCTTCTAAGGCAATGCGCACCGAGCCGGCCACTGTCCACCACGCCGACGTCCGGCGCGCAACGTCGGAGATCTGCAATGAACGCACTGCGGGTTCTGGTGAAAATCGTGGCCGAACCTGATCTGCGAGCATTCTGAAGCGCCTTTTCTGATGTGGTGGTACGCGCATAAAGACGAGCCCGATGACTCGCAATTGCACTCTCTACGGAGCACCGACGGCCCGCGTTCGTTCTTCCTTCTGTTCAAAAAAATAGTGACCGTGCCACTCTCGCACGATACTTCAGAATGAAGGCCTTTCTCTTGCAACGGGAAGGCCTCCGAGGGGACCCTGAGCAGAAACAACCTCGAAACCGAAATGATGGCTGCCATCTCGCTGTCACCTGCAGCCTGCGCGCGTTTGATGATTGCGTGGGCTTCGCGGGCCTGGAGGCCCAGGCGTGGTTTTGGCGCAGGCGCAGGTTTGCGGACACCTCCCCGCACTTGCTGCACCACGCTGCCGCCCCAAGAATTTGACAACCTAAGGAAACGGTGTGCCCAACGAAGGTGTTTCAGATACGTGCAGAAAGTCTCTACGTTGACGAACAAATTCGCATACCTTGAAACGCTGCTCTCCGTAGCCGGGAAGCGACATGGCATGTTAGATGCGTCGCGAAAGGCCCCCCAGCACCGTATCCCGCTGACATACGTCGGGATAGACGCTTGGATCGCCGTGATCATGAGCCTCTGCGCCCGTTCAGTCATCATGTCGTCGGCTGCAGGGCCAGCCGCAGACGCGAGTGCCCGGATGCGTTTCAATGGCCCTCCGGTCTCCGCCAAGTCGCCTAGGCCTGCCTCGACCATGCGTTGGACGAACGTGCTCCTGTTTAGGATGACAGACACTTCCTCCTCCTTCAGGAATTCATCCAAACATTGAGCTACAAACCAGGCTGTGCATTCCTCCCTCGACAGCGCAATAGCGCGCCGGATCCACCAGCCACATGCGTCTACTGCTTCCGGAGGCGGAGACGGCGAGGCACGCTCGCGGATCAAGTTGCTGTTCACAATTGACACTGGAGCAGACGTCACAGCAGTTCGGTCTCCTTGAAGCGTCACAGGGACGAAGGCATGCTGGCTCGGCGCGGCCGGCACCTGGGGCGGTGGGCCCGGGCGACTCACATCCAGGGTCACTGGTGTGAAAGGCTTCATGCTAGGACCAAGCTTGCCCCAAATCGGCTGCTCGACCGCCAGATGTCAGCGAATGCAAAGAGAGTGCACGGGGACCTAGTGGTCCCTCCAAAGCACATGGTGCAACGTCAACCATGAAGGCACGAGGCAGCATAGGTGTTGCCAAAGCAAGCGTTCCCGCCGCAGCTGGTGCTGCGACGGCGACGACAAGTTGCGTGCGTTGACCACATATTGACGACGATAGATAATGACAGCGACGGCATTGACAACTTCATGGGATGTGAATGACCGAGGAAGGGAAATAGAGACAGAGAGAGAGAGAGAGCGAGAGAGAAGGGGAGAGACAGACAGGCAGAGAGAGGGAGAGAGGGAGAGGAGGAGTGGGAGGGAGGGACGGGGACCGGGGAAGATGACGAGAGAGGAGGGAGGACAAAAACTCTGACACGCATGGGTGGCAACGTGTGTGGTCAAGAGAACTGAATATTGGCTGGCTCCTCCCCGTCCCAGCTGGCGCTGGCGAGACAAGACAATACCAGCTGGTGCCGGACAAACATGATTAGGGTCACACATGCCCACTGGACAGGAGCTGGTGCTGCCAAGAGGGCTGGTGCCCAGGCGCCAAGATATACACAAGGAGAGACAACACACAACACTTACAACATGGTGTAATTGCACGCTTCGATCAACACTCACGACACGCATGTTAATCGCACAACGAACTGCAGCTGGTGCTGCCAACAGGGGCTGGTGCCCCGGCGCCAAAAAATACATTATAGGAGCGGCACCAATCAATGCTCACATCATAGTAGTGATATACCTCGACATACGCACACGACACTCATGTCAAACGCACAACGAATAGCAGCTGGTGCTGCCAACGAGGGCTGGTGCCCAGGCGCCAACAAGAGGAATTAGGACTGACTCTTTCTAGGCAACGCACTCATGACGTGAGTTGTTTGGTATTCGCCCAACGTGATTGTTGATTGCAACAGCATAGCAGCTGGTGTTGCCACGAAGGGCTGGTGCCCAGGCGCCAACAAAAGGAGCCTGCAACGACATTCTTGCGACTGACGGTCGCAACTGAAATATGTGAAGTGCTACAATACATGCACATGGCATGCATGCTAAACTTGCGTGTGCGTGAATACCTTGGGGGCCGCAGGTAAGGCCGCCGCTATAGCGCGTGGACGCGCCCGACGCTGACAAGTGCCAGCTGGACAAATGTAAGGGCAGTTGGTGCTGTCCGGGAAGCAATTGTTGCAATCGTGCTGGTGGGATTTGTGCCCGGCGCTCTCCTGACAGCTACATGCCAACGCTGACTCCAAATAAGCATCAATGATGAAAGTTCGACAAGTTATTGCAACCAGCTGGACCTGGATATGTGTAGTTGGACCCACGGAACAAACCCGACAGAGGAACTACACGGCGCGGCGCCTGGCTGAGGCCGGGCCACCAGACACAGGCCACACTAGGGCGTGAACCTGGACAACACGAGCTAGAGCCCGGCACCGTGCTGGTGCACGGACGCGCGACACGACCTGTCTGCTACCGCCCGGCTGGGGCCGGGCACCCGGCAGACCTGCGAAACGGAGGTGTGCGCCAGGATCGACGACGAAGCAACGGCGACGAAACGCACGCGGACGCACCTAGCTAGAGCTGGGCGCCGTGTTGCCACGCAGGGCACTGGTGTGCCAACGCAGACAACTGAATGCGTGCGATGTGCCATAACCCCCGGGATTTCGGCGCCCTCCGGGGGGCCTCCAGAATCCCCGTGGACCTCCTATATCGACCTTGACGGGATGACGACAAGTTCCGATGCTTTTCTCTCTGGCAACGAGCTACTCCACCAGGCGGCGCGGAACCCCGTCGAGAAGCCACCCGCCTAAATCGCCATGAAACTCCGGCCAATGCACAATTCCAGAAGCGACGCGTCATTCCTCGACGGGCCATCAGCCAAGTTCAATTTAGATGGGACGTACTCTGCGTGGTAAGTCAGAGGCATCCCGGCCATGTCAAACCACAGCCTGCCCGCAATCATAGCCAAATCCTCCTTCGCAAATGCCCCCTTCTCAACTGGAACACAATGAGAATGTATATATGAAGAGGGAGAGGAATGATAGTACCTGTGGGAAGGGGAACAAGGGTACACTAATGAATACCTGCGGCCCTTCCCATTCCTTTTCCCCCCATCACAACCGAAGCTTGTATGGTAAGGGAAAACCAATTGTTGTCTTAAGATTTCGCAAGAGCTCGCGCGTAATCTTTCTTAGCAAATCAGTGTTACAAAACCCTGTGTTGTTGTATGATTTTTGGAAGCTCGATTGCGAAATCCTTCTGGCACCGAAGGTTTTTGAAGGGTTTCGGCATGCGCGCGCGACGACGCGCGCGTGTGCATTTCGTCCTATTTTTTGCAAGGGATTCGCGAAAACGTGTTATGTTAGAACAAAAAATGTCACCGCATAGTTTTTCTACCAGGGAACCTCAGGGGGGGGATACCTGTTGGCCTGGGACATTGCGATTTCATATTTAGGATGAACATGTGGTCATACTGATATGTGATTTACATACCCTAAAGGTGAAGCGATAACGCGGGGGGAGGTAGTCTATTCTCTTTTTAAAAAGGAGAATTGATTTTAACCCAAGATTTGGCACATCCCATGCTCTTGCAAACATCCCACCCACCCACCCGCAACTTGGCTTGCAAAACCTCTTGAGACCGTGACGGTAGATACCAAATGGCACTTGGCAACGACACCGACGCCGACGACGACGACAACGACGACGACGACGGCGACGACGACGACGACGACGCCGACGTCGACGACGACGACGACGCCGACGACGACGAAGACGACGACGTCGCCAACGAAGACGACGACGAGGGAGGAGGAAGGACGACGACGGCGATAACGACGACAACGACGAGGGAGGAGGGAGGACGGCGACGACGCGAACGACGAAGAAGGAGGAAGGACGGCGACGCCGACGACGACAACGACGAGGGAGGAGGGAAGACGACGACGACGACGACGACGACGACGACGACGGCGACGAAATAGGAGGGACGACGACGAGACGCCGACGACGGACGACGATGACGACGACGAGGGAGGAGGAGGAAGGACGACCACGGCGACAACGACGACGGAAACGACCACGCCGCCAAAGAGGACGACGACGACGAACACGAGGAAAGACACAGGACGACGTAGGCGATGACGACGACGACGGCGACGACGACGACGACGCAAGAGCGCGCGCGCACGCTTTGTTGAAAATCCGTGTTGCGAAACCGTGTGTTTTTGTAGGGTTCTTGGACACACGATGTTGAAATCTGTCCGAAACCGATGGGTTTTGAAGGATTTTGGCATAAGCGCGCGACGACGCGCGCGTCTGCACTTCGTCCCATCTTTTGCAGGGGATTCTCTCGACGGCACACGCGCCAGGGCGTTCGACAGATTTCGACATGAGCGCGCGCGACGCCCGTTTGGTAGCATGTTGTGAAAATCTCGAAAAACCAGAATGGTTTTCTTAAGATTTCGCAAGAGCTCGCGCGTAAGCTTTCTTAGCAAATCAGTGTTGCGAAACCCTGTGTTTTTGTATGTGTTTTGGAAACTCGATTGCCAAATCCTTCCGACACCGAAGGTTTTTGAAGGATTCCGGCATGCGCGCGCGACGACGCGCGCGTGTGCACTCCGTCCCATTTTTTGCAAGGGATTCGCGAAAAAGTCTTATGTTAGAATAAAAAAAATCACCGCATAATGTTTTTTACAAGGGAACCTCAGGGGGGGATACCGGTTGGCCTGGGATATTGTGATTTCATAGTTAGGATGGACATGTGGTCAGAATCATATGTGATTTACATGCTCGAAAGGGGGGGCGAAAACGCAGGGGGGGGGTAGAGTCTATTCTCTTTCTGGAAAGGAGAATAGATGTGGAGCATGAGATATGGAGCAAGCGCTTGATGCAAAAATTGTTGCGCAACAGATGTGGAGCATTCTCTGTTGTGCAATAGATGTGGTGCAATATATGTGGTGCAATATGTATGATGCGCAATATAGTCACATCTGTGTAAATATATATGCATACAGACATACCAACATACATGACTACATACGTGTATGCATACATTCGAATACATTACATTACATGGCATTACATTACATTACATGTCGTTACATTACATTACATTACATTACATTACATTACAGCTGCATCGTATTACACTACATTACATTGCATTCCTTCACATTCCACTACATTATAGTACAACACGTTACATTACGCTACATTACATACATTATATACAAGCATACAACCATACACCGATGCATGCATGCATGCATACATGCATACACACATACATGCGTGCATACATACATACATACACACATACATTACACGCATTACACACATTACACACATTACATACACTACATCAATTACAGACATTACATACATTCATACACACATGCAAACACACGTACATGCATACATGACTACATGCATGCATGCATGTATGCATGCATGCATACACACATATATATATATATATATATATATATATACATGCATGCACGCATTCATACGTGCATGCATACATACATATGTGCATATCTACATGCATGCATGCATACATACATACACATATATATATATACACATATACATATATCATATGTGTATGCTATATCTGCGTGGAGCAATTCAGTTGTAGAATGTGTTGTGCGATTTATGCTGTGCACTCTATGTGGTGCTATCTATTCAGCGGCAACAAGGCTGCGGACCCGACAAACGAGCCCAGACGACGGGCGGCGACGGGGCGGCGACGGGGCGGCGACGGGGCGTCGACGGCGACAACAAGGCGGCGGACCCGACAAACGAGCCCAGTCCCTTGGAAAACGAATAAGAAGCCCTAAGGGAATACCTACACGACCACCCTTCGGGTGATAAGGAGGTTGGGGGGAGGGGAAAGAAACAACTACTGGCAACTGCCATGGGTGTGATGATGATGCTGGTGGCGCGCCCTCGAGTTGGCGACGCCGCGATGTCATGCCACTATCGACCCCGCTATCGATCTCACTCGGGACACCGCGGGACAGCGCTGGATAGGACACCACTGGACACCACGGGACACCGCGGGACACCACTGGGACACCGCGGGACACCACTGGGACACCGCGGGACACCACGGGACACCACGGGGCACCACGAAACACCATCGGGACACCATGGCGAGACACCGCGGGACACCATCGAGACAGCGGGACACCACGGCGGGACACCCCCAGCCACCTCGCGCCCACTAGAGGGCCCGACTTTTGCATCCGAATCGCCCTAGCGACGGCGGGATCATTCTTCTTGCGCGCCCACGACGAGACACCGCGGGGCGTCATCGGGGCACCGCGAGACACCACGGCGGGACACCCCCAGCTACCTCGCGCCCACCGAAGGGCCAGCCTTTCGCATCCGGATCGCCCTAACGACGGCGGGATCATTCCTCTCGCGCGCCCACACAACTTCGCCTCGCCCGCACGCGCGACACGAACACGACACCGAAACCGACTTCCCGGTGGGGGGCTCTCCGTTCCATTGAGATCTCAACCCCCTAACCTCCGAACTCCTCCCTGTCGCGCCCCAAGACGCGTCGGTAGGGCGGGTCGGGCGTTTCGTGTCAGGCTTCCTTGCCACTTATGATCCTGAAACCTGACATCAGCAACAATTACGGATGAAGACAGTTCCTGCTCAAAATGCGGCTCTCGCCTTAGCGCCGCGCACATTCGTCTGAAAAGTTTGCAGCTGCTTCACGGATGGAGGGGAGCTCCTTTTCAAAGTTTGACTCGCCACCGCGCCGCGCACATTCGTCTTCAAAGGTTGGAGCAGCTTCGAAGATGGACGGCGGGTCGGTTTCAAAATGCGGCCCTCGCTGCAACACCACGTACATTCGTTTAGAAAGTTTGCAGCAACTTCAAAGATTGAGGGCAGTTACCTCTCAAAATGTGGCCTCGCCGTAGCGCCGCACGTACTCGTCTTCAACATTTGTAACAGTTCTAAAGAATCGCATGGTCGAAGTCCCAGGCATGGTGATCTGGAACTAATTAGGATTCTGAGGGCGTAACAGTCACGTGGATTCGCGGTGTTGAAGTCCAAGGAATGGTGTTCTGGCACCGACTTACGCTGGTCAAGACGCACCAGTCGCGTTGATCCGCGGCGTCGAGGTCCCACGAAAATCGTTTTGGCACGACTGAAGCTTCTCAGACGCTTGTCTTCCAACGGGGCACATTCCACACTGCAAATTGCCACATCAGTCCGTAACTCCATGAGGTTGTGGTACAGAAACCTTTCCCAATCCTTACTGCTCCAGTTACAATTGATTGCTGCAGTCTTGAATTCTGACCGAATATACACTTCCATGGCACCGAAATCATGGATCCAATCTGTGTGTGCGTAAACTGGTACAGATATTTCCCAACACGCAGTCAGCCACCCGCCAAGGCTGGAGTCGTGACCTTTCCACTCGGCGTGGTCGAAGTAGAACCTGACCATCTCGCCATATGTCGATACGAGGCGTTGGCTGGTTTGTGGCGGCTGATCATGAGCATTGTTGAGGATACACCGCAGGAAGGTCAGTATGTTCGGCAAAATACGATTCAAGCCTCTTTTGGAATGGCCGATTTGGAGACTTCGGTCTTGCTGATCTGCGTCCTCCTGGCGATCTGGCTGTCGTCATCATCTGTATACCCGAAGCCGTCCGAAATTCACCAGATGCCTCCGGAGGCACCAGCAAACCCAACATGTCAATATAAATTCGGTCCTCCCCCCGTCATCGTCCTCTTTTTTCTCCTGTATGTGTTTCTCTCTCTCTCACTCTCTCTCTTTCTCTCTTTCTCTTCCTGTCTCGATCTATATCTCTCTCTCTCTCTCTCTCTCTCTCTCTCTCTATATATATATGTTTATGTCTCGCTTTCTTTCGTGAAATTCCTTTCTCTGAACGTGTGTATAAATATGTATGTCACGTCATTTCTCTCTCTTTCTCTTTTTGTTGTTTTGCTTTCTCTCTCTCTCTCTCTTCCTGTGTGTGTGTGTGTTTCTCTCTCTCTCTCTCTCTTTTTTCTCTCTCTCTCTCCCTCTCTCTCCCTCTCTTTCCCTCTCAAGACCTCCCTGAGCCAGAGTGTATGTGTATATATATATATATATATACATGAATGTACTCCCCCCACCCAGGCCCTCCGTTTGCCACCCCTTTGCTCAATTAACATGTACAATGCCCCTCCTTTTCCACCTCCTCCTCCTTGACATCTTGCCGCGCAGTCAAGAGAGCGGCGCCTCGATCATCATTACCGCGACGACGAAAGAGCAGCTCCGCTGCTACGGAGACATGAATCTACCAATGAGAGGGGCGCAGAAAGAGGTGGATACGGAAAGTTCGTGCCGTGAAGACAACGGCGTTGGTTTTGGCACCGCGTGGATAATTCATCCTTGAACTGTCGCGGCTCTCCGACAGTCTGGGATCTTCTGACCCAGGTCAATCCAGACCCGGTCAGTCAAGCCTTGCAGGACCCTGCAAATCCTGCAAGATCTTGCACCGAAGCCCGGGTCAGCGCGAAGGATCCTGCACGATCCTGCAGGATCCTGCACCCAAGCCCGGGTCAATGCGACCCTGTCCCTGCAGGTCGAAGCCCCCGCAAGATGTGACATCTGTGTTGCGCAGAAACAGAGGGGGCGACGAGAGGAGCAGGGCAAGGGGGGAGGGATACGGGGGGAGGGCAAGGAGGGGGAGGGGGAAGGGGGAAAGGGAAAGTGGGGAGGGCAAAAAGGGGGAAGGGGAAGGGGGAGGGGGAGGGGGGAGGGAAGCGGAGGGGGAAAGCGGGGGGGAAGGGATGTCGACAGGGGGCGGAGGAGAGGGCAGGGGGGGGGAAGGGCGCTCCATGGAAAAATGGGGGGATGGTAATTAGATGGTTGGCCCGTGTTAGTATATACATACATGTGTTGAACGTTTGTGCACACGCATGCGCATGCAGTTTTAAAAGGCGTTGATATGAGCCTTTGCCTGAACAGTCTGTACAATACAATCGAATATGATTGTTTTGATAATTTTGTGATTCGGACTACGGAGCACTCACGCGTCGCCACGTCATAACAACGGTTCCTTCCGTTTCAACCGCAGCTTGGCGCGTTGCCGCATGCGTATGTCTACAAGAGGCTACCACCTAAACACTACGTGAATCAATACTTGTTGGACAGCACGGAACACTGACTTTCACGCGGTGCCACTATCATACACGCTTTAACGTTTAACCACAGTTTACCACATACGTATCATGCTGAGATATGATTCGATGTTCATCTCGGCCTTCATCTGACTCATCTGACCTAAACAGAGCAACAAGCCGTGCTTGTTCCACGCAATGCGGGGCACTCACACGCGCTGCCAACATCATGCAAGTTCGTCCTTTTGTCCGCCAGCTGGCCGCGAGGCACGGAAGGGAGTCTCCTCACGTCCTTACGTATTCTCTGTTGTCTCTTGAACATACTATAAAGGTCGAGGCCCCAAATTCGCGAATCTCTCGGGCGGCACAGGCCCCTTCTGGGCCGGATTGTTTGAATTTTCCAAAACAGGCCAGGGCCTCCAAACCGGCTAAGAGGGGCCGGGGTAACGCCTCAGAGGGAGAGGCCTGCAAGACGGCCCAAGGGCGCTCCAAGACGCCCGAGATGGCCCCCAAACTCATAGACGGCCCAAGGGGCCCCAAAGAGGCCCCAAGAGAGCTTCGAAAGGCACCCCGAGAAAGCTCCAATAGGACAAAGTCATCGATCTTACAAAATTGTTGATTGATGTTGGCCATCTCGCATTTTCGGGTTTCCGCTGCTCCACGCACGACGGCCCGAGAGGTCTCCATGCCGATCCAAGACAACCCAAGAGGCCTCAAGACGGCCCACACAACGGCCCAAGAGGGCCCCAAGACCGCCCTAATAGGGGCCCAACAAGGGGAGCAATAACCGAACATTCTATAGCCGTGCCCCAAGAAGCCCTCTGGAGACCCCAAGATGCCCCAAGAAACACCCAAAACGCGCCCAAGAGGCTTTCAATATGCCTAAGACGCCCCACAACGGCCCTAAGAAACATCAAACGCGCCTCAGACTTCAAAGAAGCCCCGGAGAAGCCTCACACGAGATCCCAACCAAAGACCACGAGGCTTCTGACCACCAACCCAAACACGGTGGGCCGCCGAAGGCCATTACGATACTGTTGCTTCAACCACAAAGGCCGTGAACTCTGAATCGGCCCACCGGCCAAAAGAGCAACGCAACGCGCGATAAACGCGACTGGCCAAAGCGAGGGCTCCAGGCTGGAGGGCCGAGGGCTGGGGCGAGCGCGAGCTGGAGGGCGGGGGCCGCAGGCTGCAGCGCGGAATCCGACGGCGAAGAATGGGGGATTAGGACCTTCTCTGTTCTCTCTCTCTCTCTCTATCTATATATCCTCTCTCTCTCTCTCTCTCTCTCTCTCTCTCTCTCTCTCTCTCTCTCTCTCTCGATCTCTACTGAAAGAGCGCGGGTCTGCCACGGAGCAGCAGAGCACTCGATCCCTGGACCCCGCGGACCAGACCCGCTGCACTGCTGCGGCTGCTGAGCCGAGCCGACGTCGTCGGGTCGCGGCCCCGACGAATGCCCGATGCCCGACAAAAAACAAAACAGTAATGATACGCCAGTGGATGCGCCGCCATGAACAACCACGAACGAAACGCCAGCTGGCGCGAGGCGCGAGGCGCTGGCACGAGGCGCTACTCCTTCGGATGTTTCTTCGAATCCGCAGCCCTGAGCTTACCCTTCTCACGGTGCAAATAATCATGCAAGTTCTGCGGCAGGTCCGTGCCCTTGACCTTTGCGAGCTGAGCGTCGATCTTGACCTGGCGGCCGTTCCGCGGCTCAGCTGGCAGGGCGGCTAGAATGAACCTCACCGTGGAAGCGACGCTGATGAACCTCTTCCCCGCAGAGAGGCTGCGCTCGCAGACGGCGACGCAGGAGGGGCACAGCTTCTCGAGGGAGCCGCCCATGGCAGGGCTGGACAGAGCCTTGGAGGACGTCTGCATCTTGGCCACGTTGACCCAAGCCGAGGCATACCCCTCCCACGTCTTATCGACGAACATATCCTTGCACTTCTCTGTGTCGAACTTGGTGACCGCGCAAGGCTTGTAATCTGGAATCGCTCGCTCGATCTTCTCGGACTCGCGCTGGAGCTGCGTCGAAGCACGGCCGGCCACGGCCGTCAGCAATTCCTTGCAGCGGCCCTCGACGACGTCGAGCTCCGAGCGCACGAGCTCGCCCGGAACTGCGGGGAAGCCGTGCGCCTCCAAGGTCTTCATCTGCATGATGCCCGAGTCGAGGTTCTCGGAGGATTTCAGGCGCTCGAGGTCGACGACCTGCCGAGCCAAGTCGTTCCACGACGCCGCAACATTGTCTGTCATGCAGTCGCTGACGCTGAAGTCCGCCCCACCAAACTGCACAGCAAGTGAGGCGTAGGTGAAGCGAGTGAGCGACATGTGCCAGTGGACGCGCAGGCCGACGGCGGAGTCGCTCTTCCCCAAGGCGACCAACATAGAGGAGATCTCGTCGACGTGAGCCCCGCCGCGGACAATGCTCTCCTTGCGCTCCTCGCGAAGGGTGGCGAAGAAGGCGCAGGAGCGATCGCCGTGGTCGTCGAAGAACTTCGCGCCGCCACCGGGCTCAGATGCCGCCTGGAGACGGGGCCCGGGCGGGGCCCGTGGGATCCCGAGGCCACCTCATGACCCAGCTTGTTCATCGCCCGAGGCGCGACAAGGCGCTGGCATCGGGCGATGATCAAGTCTGGCTTGAGAGGATCTCGGGCCTCGGGAGATCCATCGGGCCCCGGCTACCTTCCAATCCTTCCAGTACTCGGCGTCGCTCTTGATAATGCGGGTCACGTCGTCGCACTTGGGCGCGAGGGTCGTCTCCTCGTGAAGCGCTGGCTGTTTCGAGCCCTCCTCCGCGGCCTTCAGGAACAAGCCCATCGGGAAACCCAAGCTGGAGCAGTGATCGTGCAAATTGCCTCCTGGTCGCACTGGTGCCGTCGATGCAATGTTCATGGCCACGTCCTCCAACGCCTCCACGTCGTTGGTCTTGAACTCGGGGTGCAGCAACTCCAGGCGGAACTCACTCGCGATCGTCAACATGCGATGTGCCAAGCGATCGTTTTCGGAATTCTGGTCACGCGCGCGCTCGAAATACTTGAGGCCCTGCATTGCCGCGAGCGGGTCCTTGATGCCCGCGGTGGTCTCCTCCTTTCCCAGGGGCTTCCCCCCAAGAGCTCTCTCGAGAACCCCTCCGAGCACGCCGCGCACGTTCCGGATGCACATGTGCAGTAGATCCTTGGTATTCGCAATGACGGCGGGCTCAACTTGGCAGCTCATCGACGTCAGCTCCGCGTCCAGTTGCACCAATCTCCCCACGGCCTCTGGACCTGGAGCGGCGGCCTTCGCCAGGATCTCTTCGACGCGAGCAGCGCACAGCTCCTTCTGGCCCTGATCGGAGAGTAACTTTCTCACGCGCGCAAGGACCTTCCCGCCGTTGCCACCCAACATGTACTTGTACATCTGGCAATCCTGAGACCGCTGCACATGCACGAGCAGGTCCTGGATCTTCGGAACGCTGCCCTGGTAGCTCGCCACATCCAGCAACTCTCGCAGCACGCCGAGGGGCTTCAAGATCGACGCGTCCATGGCGCACCCGAGCCCCGCCGTCGGCTCGCTGTCCTTCGGGAATACCGAAAGCAAACAATGGAGCCAGCGGATGTACGCGTCAAGATCCTTCGGCATCTGATCCAATGGCAACGTGACGAGGGTGACCCAGCAATCTTCGACGCGCCCCTCTGGCGAGCGACGCTCGCGACCCCTGCGCCCGCGCGACCTCCAGGGCAGACTCCGAAGCAAACAATCAGATGATTGCTCGGATTCCCAAGCCCAAGAGGTCGCTGGAGCGCTGGGCCCACGGCTTCGCCGCGCATCATGCTGCCACTCCCTCACCTCCTCGCCCGTGAGGAACTCCGACAATTTCTCGGCAGAGATGCTCTTGACGCGGCGCAAGATCTCGCCGCGGTCATTCGCCTTCACAACCTCCACCAAGTTCCGCGAGAATGCCATCTCCAGCAGCGCCAAGGAGATGCATGCAGGGAGCTTGCCGTCGAGGGGCACCTGTGGATCCTCGGCGGCGAATGCCATCTCGCGGTCGTACTCAATCATGAACGCCTCCACCTCGCCCTTTCTCGTCCAGACCTTGACGATGCTGTTCAATATCTCCCACTTTTTGATGATCGAGGTCGCTCTGCCCTGGAGATCCTTCGGCAACTGCGTCAACTTAGCCTTCATGGAA